CAGACAGACAGACAAAAATTTTACTGATTGCATTTTTGGCATCAGTAGCGATCCCTAACCACCCCTTGATAGTTATTTTTTAAATATATTTTATGTACAGAATTGACCTCTCTACAGATTTATTATAAGTATAGATTTCTTTTACGAGCTACATAACTAAAACTATAGTCTTTCAGTAAGTTAGGAAATTACAATAATCATAGGATTAATAATCATGTTTATCGTTTTTTATACCGAATGAAATACCTCTCTGTTTTGTAGGTGGGTATAATAAATAACTACACACTGTTGAAATCAGATGGCTCATTACAAATGTGAAATATAAAATTTGAGTATAAAGTATAAAGCATAATTTTTAATCATAGCTGGGGTTCTTATTTCGTACTCAAAAATATAAATAACAACAAAGATAATACACAACATTGAAGAAATTCGTGTCAATATCAAATCCACAGTGCCCCTCCGGATCTGGCCTCTACGATAACTCTGTCTCTTTCTTTTATATGACGAGGAAACGAAACAAAACAACAAATCCGTCCGTGTTCACACAATCAGCGATAGACCAAAATCGTTTTGTGCTATTTACATCGATGTATTAGTGAACGAGTCGCAGAAGGCTCAGCAATGTCGAAGCAGTAATGAATATTGAATAAATACACGCTGTTTACATTGCTCAACTCAAAGTACAGAGTCCGCGCCCCCCGCGTCAGTAACGTCACTGTTTTCTTTATCATTTCGGAGGCAAACTTAACGTAGTATGGCCGTCGTCTGGAAGTATTCACAGTTTTACTTCCACAAAGAATACGCGATAAACATTGCGCAGAGCGAATTAAGAAAGACTTTTTTAAATAAATTCTTTACGCGAGTGAGATAAACATTGTTTGACAAGTGATAAACCGCGAAATTAAGTAACGCGTAACAATAATTCGACCTCATTTTAGTCTATTTTTATTGTTTTCATCAAAATTTTTGACAAAATGTGGTTAGTTAGCCAGCCCAATTCTGTGATTTTGGAAGTCAAAGTGGAACCCAATGCAATTGGACAAGACTGCCTTGAAAAGGTAAGAATGCACTACCATATCAACATTCATATTTTTATTAATTTTTACTTGCGCACGCTAAATTTTCAGCAGCAGTTGTTTACAAACAGTTCATCCCATATTTCAGCAGTTCTTCATAACGAATAATCATCTATTATTTGCTCATTACATATTATAAATCGCGAATTACGTTGCAGGAACAGAATTATACGAACGTAACATTATCATTATAACATATGGGTGAATTTTTTGTGCAAAATAATTATATGTAGTGGTAGTTAGTTAGCTAGGCTAGAATTCAGAGTAAGTCTACATTTTAATATCTAACAAAAGCATTGTTCGAGACACGTTTGCTCGGCGACGGTGACGGCGACGTCAGTTTACCTTGCGGACTTTGGACCCGGCAAATATCGTTCTACACGTTTTACCTTCGTGATGTTGTATGGAATGCAATAAACGTATCGTTCTCATATTATTGCTGTACTATTGTTTATTTCAACGAAAACACCTTGTTAAGGTGGTCATGGTCTATGAATTAAGGTTTTATTAAGGGTATTCAAAACTCTTATAAAATCTTGTCTTCAGAATTGCCGCCAGAATGTTCATTTTAACTGCTGGCTGACTTCCAGCCAATCGTTCAATGCATTTTGAATTTAGGGCAATCCTTACGAATGTTCTGTTGATTCAACACTGGCCAAGGAAAACGGCAAAATGCTGCAATAGAGCATAGTAACAGGCTTCAAAGAGACTTGTAACATTAAGTAACGATTGCACCATACAACTTTATGTTTAAACCAGGAGTTCACAACTTCATAGCCCTTTGTTCTTGTTGGTTTGAGCTTGGACCTTTGTGGGACAGGTGCCTTAGAAAAAGATGACTAAAGAAGCGTCATAACTTGAAAAATCCAACTACTTATGAATATTAATTATGTCTGTTCAAAACATTAGAACACTAGCACTTAGCTTAGATAAGTAAATACCTGTACCCACCTATAATCGATACACTTAACGAGTCCATGATAAAATAATTAGCAATTCAAACGATCGATTAGAGGTGTCTAAAAAGTCACGTGATAATTTGGATTTTACGTTAAATCATACTTGGATAATGTGCAAATAAATCTATTAGTAGTTGCATGAGTATACATAGAAACATAGTAACATTATGTAGGTACCTCCTACCTACTTGAGTCTACCGCTCATCGTGAGTCGCGTCACGTAAGAAACTTACTCATACTTATAAAGATAGTAAGAGCACTGACCTACAATTTTAACAAAATTAAAAACTTCATTCTATGGCAGTTGTGTATAAAACCTTGACGGCGTTACTTAAATGAAAACTCACACATACAACCTATATCCACGAGGTCTCATAAGAGGGCATTTGGTACAAAAAATGTCTGTCAAAAAAAAAAAACATCTAAATTCAAACCTGTTGCTAGCTAAACGATATTCATTTTGAATTTCTGATGATATCTGTAACAGCTACCTAATGCGTTTTGTATTTACCTAAATAAAATACAGTAATCTTCAAACAACCTTTGAAGATAAATGCATTCTGTATAATATTTATTGTTCTCAAAGTTATTCATATCATTGAGTAACTACCATTGTTTATTAATAAGAAAAAGCCTCACTGAAACTTCAAGAAATACGTCGCAATGTCATGAAATAAAAGACTGATGAAGTGAAGTGATGACTCAATCAAATATCTCCAAACAAATCAACGGATCGTTACACGTTATTCACGCGGTTACACCGGTGATTGTGGCTCGAGTCCAAAGTCCACAGTTTGAACAACAGCTGTGAACTCTCTACCGTGCGCACGGGCACGTGCACACTGCGTGATCTCATCCTGAAAATTCATTTTCAACCTTGTTACCGTAGCGCTAGAAACCATTTTTCAATGTACCGTCTTAACTTTTCACGTGACGAATTAGATTCTGTTTTATAGTTGAATTTAATCTGTAAACCTTTGGACTCCCAATGATGAGGGTGACGGGCGTGTAAATTGTATCAACTGCTCAACAAACCAACAGCAGCAAATATGGCTGTTTATGTCAATCTGAAGAAATAATGGGTAAAAAAGAGAAAATAGATGAAATACATGACCAAATAAATCAGAGCAAGTCTGAGAATACAACTGCAACTGACAGACAGTCAAGCAGTTGTTAATAAAACAAATGCATAAACTATAGCACATTTTATATAAATAAGTGTTACTCACTCTATTTAAAACATAAGTGGACGGTTACTAAGAACTCGGGGTACAAACTCCAACCGTTATGAGAAACTGTGTCTCATCGCGTGCTAATTTTATTGGAAAGAGGTTAATTGGACATACCTACATTTTTAAAATTACCAGGCTCTTAATAGCTTCTGTAATGGTTTTAAGTAATTAAACAATGATTTTGATCACCTTATAGATAAGAGCGACTTATGAAGCATCGTCAACAATAACATAGCACGTAAAAAGAATTGAAAAACATTAAGAACATATTTTTGGTTGATTGTATAATGAGACGTAGTATGTGGGATACTTAGTGAAAACGACAAGCCGGAAAGACAAAGCGACAAGATAACAATGTTGCAACACTTGCAACCAACAAACAATAAAAAATAATAACTCAACTTATGTTTTATCGTGTCTCTAATCTCACTAAATTACCATTTTCACCTTACCTATCCAAAATGTTAAGGCAGACATTACCAAAAATATAAGTTGTTTCGCAATAATTTGCATAACTACTTCGCGGTTTATTTATGTGAAAACCCGTGTTTTCCGATATTGCCTGATTAAAAACAACAATAAAACTTGAGTCGTCATCAAAAATTTGCAGATATTTTAATAGCAAAATATGGATTTAGCGTGAACAGTAATGCATATGAAAGCGCTCTACATTTTTACGCTGATCTAGTAGGTACAAATTGTAATTGGTGAAAATTTTCATAAGAGCAATGATGAACGTTCTAGAAGGCAAATTTGATCGAACAATATTGCAAACTTTTTGCACTTTGTACTCTTCAAAACGCAAATTGACCTATTTAACTTTAACGACTAATTTCAACCAACAATTTAGACCAAATAGTTGGCGCAAACGTTTTGCTTCCAATGTTGAACTTTCCAATTGGTTCGGTGGACTTTGTACCTTGACGTCATCAACGGCCTCAGTTGTGTAATAGTCTCATTGTTTGTCACAATATCCTTCGAGTAGTCGAGTATGTTTCCCTGGTAATGTTATTGCTTTACCTATACGGCTAACAATAAGCAACGGTCGTTTGTTATTTCTGTTATTATTGTATAAATTCGTCCTGGCCTTTTGCTTTCCGCAAAAGGCCAGGCCGCTGTACCTCCTACAGAAAATACAGCTTTCGTAAGACACCAGTTTTGTTTTTAAATGGAATTGTCTTATTCGGATATTTCCAGAAGTTTTGGAGTGTTATTGCATTGTGCAACCAACAAGTCGCATGCCTAATACATTTATGATTTTAGTTCAAAACAATAGACACCTAAGTCCGAACTTTGGAAGATAAGAATACGTTAACCGCTCATCATGGTCAAGAATGTAATGCATTTCAATATTTTAATCAACAATAAGCAGTATCTTTGTTCGACTACAAAGGTATGATTAATTGCTCTGGTACGAATACAGAGAGAACATTATAATCTGAAACAATGCTCTATACCCAAGGTACGGCAACTCCATAATTATTCAACGTGTCCTACATTGTTCTCATCACGAAAACAGACATGCAAAAACAAATAATAGGTGTTTGCATATTTGGGCTGCAGATGATATCGTTAAGAGTTAAAATGTGCATATATTATATTCATAAGAAACAAGCAAAGACCAAATGAACAGATATTTCGATTTTCCTCTTAATTTGCTCAGCAGAACTCGCAGTTATTTTGGGGATTAAAAGCTGTATAATAGAGTGTAAAAGAGTTTTATCACAGCCGATCTAAAAACCATTCGCTACATCTGTTTGCAATTATTATTGCCTGGCAGACTCCAGATGTTGCAAAGGTTACAGTCATGCCTACGTTTTCATACATGTGCATCTGTTACTGATGACTTTATACAGGACAGAGAGCAATAACGACCCAAAATAAAACTACATTACTTTATAATAATGGTGGTTAGTTGCAAGAAGATGTAAAATAGGAAATACGTTCTATAATTTAGATCTTCCAAGAACTCTTGCAAGTCGGAGCAAACCCATTGATTGTAGAGCATTAGCACCGGCACAAATAAGGTCGTTCGAGTATGCGAAGATAATAGCAATGTGAGCCAAGGTTCGCAATCACGACTGCGTAACGTGCACCCGATAGCTACGCCGATGTTAATTACCTGACCTTAAGAATTTATAAATGCATTGCAGTCCAGGTTGTAGGAAAAAACTTCTATGATTATACAAAAAAAGATTAATGTATAAAAGTTTACCTACTACTATAAATCGAATGTCATGCTAACGAAGAAAAACAAGTGCAAAACATCTATTTCAATATCTATAGATTTTCCGAGATAATTGGTATGTTTTTTTTGAAAAACAATTAAGTAGGTGCTTACGATAACGAGACATAATCAAGTACACTTTAAGTTATTTAATTGATTATACTTGTTTTGAAAATCTGCTCTTACGCAGGTTGGTAATCGCTTTAAAGGATTAAAGAAAGAATCGCACGATTTTTATCAATAACTATTTTTGTTTCAATTGTAACTACGCAGCACACAGCACTTGATGTTACGGTTTATCTATTAAAAAAGGTGTGGACTCATCAATCAATGTGTTGGACGTCAAATCGTTAGCATCGTCGTTAGTTTTGTAAAAACATTTCTTTATTTAAATAAAATAAGCTATAGGTAAGCCTAAGAATGGCCATTATCAAAAGAACGGGAACTTCCTTGTCCAAATTTCTTAAAACCACAGACAAGTACTTAATAGTTCCTGGTCAAAGTTCCAATAAGTCCAATCACAACTTAATTGTCATGACGTATTATGCAGTTCATATTAATTCA